CCCTTCGGATAAAGTTTTATTCGATGTTATAAACGTCAAGAAATTTTAGTAAATTAGGGATGACCCTTAAGAAATTTTAATAATTTACAGGCAACCCTAAAGAATTTGGTTAAAATTCAGGCGACCCCTCAGAAAACCTCATCCATAGGGGGGTGTGTATATTAAATGGAATGGCCCAAGGGCCACAAGGCGAGAAACTCAACGATATCTGCCAAACCAGTTACAACCAGCAACTGCAGTGTCCCATAAACGTTGAAAAAACACAAATATTTCTCGTAGTCTTGTATTTCGGTTCAATTTTCATCATATATTTGCAAAAATTGCGACAGGAAAGCACACGTGCGCTGTATTTTGACATTTTATAAAATTTCAAAAGTGCGCGGGCGGAAATCCGCCTTAGGCTAGCGGTTTGCTAATCCAGAGTACTTTATCTTGGGACCGTCATTTTTTTAGTATTTACCGTCGTTTGCGTCCACGAATGAACAATCGCATATAAAAACATTGTCATTTTTATAACGTGAAACTTTAATGTTTGAAACAAGTATTGTTGTGCACGGATTGTTGTTAATTCAACATTTATCCCGCGTAAGGCGCCTTTTGTTTGCCAAAACCATAGAAGTATTTTTCTACACAAGTTTTCTTTTGCGATTGTACAAAACGAACAAATTAGTTTACTGCTTGTCCACTGAAAAGCTGACATGCAAATTTTGTATACTTTTTTATTGCATGCGGAAATTGCTACCATTTTTGGCCCAAATGTGGTGGCAATTTCCGCGCGCAATACAGAAGTATATAAAATTTGCGAACTTTGCAAGGTTATATTTTTCCGCATTTTACAACATTTCGAAACCAAACTTTGTAATTTTACTAATTTTAGTACGCTCGTTCTAGCTGAGGTTATTTCCATCTTCCTTGCCTAGTTTTAAAATTAGTCTATAATGGGAATTGTCTGTTGTGACGTAGACTTGCCCACAAGGACGAACCGCGAAAAAAAGTGACTGGAAAGTTCTTTGGGAAAGTCTAATTGTGACGTTGCGATATGGCGAATTAACATGCACGTCTCCCTATGAATGTAAAACGCGCCGTTTGTTAAATTTGTTTACGACCACCAGAATATATTATCGCTTTAATAGCCATTCATTTCTGACTTGTGAAACATTTACCTGTTTATTTCTTTGTTTTAATTGAACTTTCAATTGCCAATTTTGCTATCTGAAATACATTAATGAACAACACGACGAAAAAGTGAAAGACGTATTTAAAGGTAAAGTCAATTTAATTAACTTTTCTCATTTTAATATAAGGAACGATATTATACTATATAGGAAAACACAAACAGAAAAACAGCTCATGCAGTGAGCCAGTTATGCTAGTGACCTGTTCGCTGTTGCAGAACAATTCCAAAACATCAACTCATAGTTCATGCATGAAACAAGATTAGACATTTGCAAATAAAACGATTAATTATGTCGTAATTCAAATCATATATAGGCAGCGCGCACAATATAGCTAGGCGTGCCTAAATTAAATATTCCGAACTTAGCTTTACTTTAAAACTATCGAAATATTTTAAAAACTTATTATATTATATTGTACCGGGCTGCCTGCGTTTAAATAATATAAATTCGGTGGCTATTATGTATTGCCATTTTTTGTTTCTATTATCGAACGGGCTTTCGCGGGAAGAAAATAGTCCTGTCAGATCTGAGTATCTGACCATTGATATCAAAGGTTGTGACTTCCGTCTTAACCCATCATTGAGTGGAAGCACTCTTTCCTTGAAGAAAAAATCGTCTGGCGTTAGACAGAGTAAAATAATAAAGCAGCTAGGACGCATTGCCACTAAAGGGTTGACCATCATTAACTATAATTTACATGATAGAAGGCAGGAGAATTTTTATGTATTGAAATAAGTCACTAGGTTAAACAAAAGTTCAAATGCTGGTTAATATGCAGAACTCATATGTTGTGGAGAAGATCTTGTAGTTCAAGATTATTATTATTGCTGCTTGAACAACCATTCGCTTGCATGCAGTTAACTATATAATCTATCTCTAAAAAATAATGAAGTTTTTTTCTGAATTGTACACCATGATTTATTTCAATACATCGAAATCGTCCCGCCTCACATCTCGTCCTGGCAAAGCGGGATCATATATAAACAGCCACTAAGTTACATTGTGTTCATATATATAGTGTATACTTGATTGTCTTTGCTGACAATTGACAGGTCGTATTCACCCATGCAGCTTCAACCAAAGCAAGTACCACATATATGGTCCATTACAACGAAATGCTGGTGAAACAACACGCAAAAAGACTATCTCTACCAATTTTCTTGTTCGTCGCTTTTTCAACCATCATCGGCATTACACTGTTGCTTCTCAGCCTTTTCTTCTCCGACACCTCACCAAACCTATCCCGTGTACCGTATGCGGCAGACGAAAAAATCCTCCTCTTATTCTGGTCCAAGTTATGGGGTTTCCCGGCGAGAAAAAGCGAAGGTTTTTTGGAAAAAGGCATTGGCAAAGGTCAGTGTCCAGTTGCTTGCGAGGTGACATCTAATCGTGATCGAATCGAACAAGCTCACGCATTCATCGTCCACGCTCGGGATCCGTATCCTCTACCGCCAAACAAAGACATCCCTTGGATCTTAACCACTTTAGAGAACCCCGTTTATACTCCTGTTTTAAAAAAACAAGAGTACATGTCTCAATTTCATTTACTACGAAGTTACAGATTAGATTCCGATTTCCCTACTCCTCTGTTCAAGAAACCAAATTTGAACCCTCCTGTACCATTTAAAAACAAAACCGGTAGGATTATCGCCGCATTTAGTAACTGCGAACCGGTCAGGACCGAGTACCTCAGACAATTAATGAGATATATCCCGGTAGATTCTTATGGTGTATGTTTGCAAAATAAGGCAGGACTCATCCAGCGATAAATCCGATTTTAAAACTATGAAATCGAAGTTACAAAAGACATACAAATTTGCTATAACATTTTTCAATCAAGATTGTGACTATTTTGTCGATGATCAAATTCTACATGTGCTCAACGCTGGATCTGTGCCAATCGTCATGAGCACAGACAAGATTTATGAGTTTTTACCAGGAAATCTTAAAAACGCTATCATTAACGTAAGGGATTTCAAAAATCCCCAAGAACTAGCCAAGCATCTAAAGTTTTTGATGAATAACGATCGGTCGATCTTTGCCAGACAAGGCAGTTCAATACTTGGGGCATAAATCCAAGCTATATATAGTGCTCATCTTGGTTATGTTTGTGACAACGTATGAAGCATTGTTTTGTAGATAGGTTTGTTGGAATGGAGTCAAAAGCGACTGCGGTGTAAATTATAGTCTCAGTTGAAAAGTTTCCTATCATTTAGTTATAAACTATAAATTATACAATTAGATCAGTGCGTGTGTAATTTTTCAGCCAGCTTTGCCGGGACAACTAGTACTCGGACAGCCTCGTTCCTGGCGCGGGAGAAACACGCGAGAAAGTCACACGTGGGCGGGAGAAGGGGGGTAAACCCCACGCACATACTGGCTAGGGACGAGGCTGGTACTCGGTCAAAAGCAATTATATGGGGAAAATATGGCTTTCTCGGTTCTCGTGTAATCGAAATTTTGAAACAAAATGGAATAAATATGAAAGTGGGCCATTAATGTGGCGGTAAAAATATATAGCTACTAGTACCATATCGTTTGCAGACCACTGTGAAACTATCAGGAAACGAGAACAAGATAGCCTGACAGACCTACGCGGGCGAAACGTAGGTCTGTTGTCAGGCTAAGAACAAGAGAAATGCATTGTTATCTGAGCATTTTTTTTATATTTTCCCCATGTTTAATGGTTCTACTAAAAGTTTGAATCAGTTTTAGTGAAATTATTTAACACGATAGTTATTGGGCTGACTATTTTTAAATTCACTAATATTTTGGTGAGGATTGTGGATTTTGCTTGCAATTTAGTTCGGATCCTCGATTGTGACTTCATAGCAGGGCTTTTAGCGGATTCAAAATGAAATTTAGACCATTGTCGGATCGGCGGATTTTGGTTCAAATTTGGGCGGTCGGCGAATTTGTATACCCCTGTTCAACCCCCCCCCCCCGTCCCCCTTGATAGTAGGGAGCTAAAGCATGTAGGACGGCAACGCGGCGACGACGGCAACCAATACAATTAGTCAATGAAAAGAAATAATAATTAAAGTCCCAGGGGGAGTTTCAGACGTGGTCGTCGCTCTGTTTACAACGGCAAATCACAGATTTTCACGTCTTTTATACAACGCCTGCATTTCAAGTCGTAACAAGTGCAACTTAAAATTCGGTCAGTAGAACTCTTCCCAAACATAAAGCCAATGTTTTCAGCTTCTTATACTGTATTAAATTCATACGAATTATAATATACGACAAGTTTTCTTTACTATCATTTATTTGAAGGAATTTGTTTTGGCCGTCGTCGTCGTGTTGCCGTCCTACATGCTTAAGCTCCCTAAGATCTACTGAGGACGCCGACGTGACGACGACGGCTGGTAGTATAATGAAATTAATAATATTTAAGAAAATAAATGAATAATTATGTCCACGGTCTGTTTCACAACCGGTAAACCAGGGCATTTTATGTTCTGTGTACAATATTGCATTTTAGTACGTAAGAAGTGGATACTCAGCAAATTGGTTCAGTCCCCAATGTGGAATTCTACTCAATAAAAAGCCTCTGTTTTGATCTCTTCAAACTGTGATAAATTCATATACAAATGATAATATACGATAAGCTTTCTTCACAATAATTTATTTCAACGAATCTGTTTTGGCCGTTGTCGTCGCTTTGCCGTCCTACATCTTAAGGTCTCTATTATACATGATAGTTCAACTGCAATTTATCTGACGCAGAACGTCATTAATTGGATGCACAGTGGAATCTCCGAATTGACTTATTATAGACTACAAAACATACACCAAAATTTTCCATCTACAAATTAAAACCCTTCTACAACTGAGTTATAACAAGCGTAGATCCCCAAATCCTAAAATCAAAATATAATCTTGAACTGTCTGTGCCAGTATATAGGTAGTGCCAATAATATTAACAAGTTTTCGTTGGCAGGGATGCAACTACCTGAAAAATATAAGGATTCAGGTATTTGCATCGCTTCCGCAACGAAAGCTTGTTCATAAAATTAAAATAGGCAGCTGATTTCAGAAGTGAGCGTTATTCTCCTTCTTAATCCTCTTTACTGACGGTAGGTAGCATAATAGAAGTTTGAGAGGTTCAGATTTGGTTCCAGATTTGTGTGCACCTGCTTGGTTAATCAAATATATCAAACGCATCTGATTGGTTAATCAAATATATCAAACGCATTTGATTGGTTAATCAAATATATCAAACGCATCTGATTGGTTAATGCTTCCTTAATGGCAGCGGTAGTGGAAATCAAATCTGAACATTCCCATCGATGCAAAATATTCTGCATTTTTGCATATAACAAGACGCATGCTCAGGTGTGACTTCGGCTACTTAGCAAGCCTGACAGGCTTGTTACCGAACTGGATCGTTATATTAAAAACTGGATTATTACATTAAATATATTGGGCCTAATCTTCAATTTTGATCGTTCATCCCATCCGCATGGTATGCATATTATACACGGGTGTGTGAGCCAGCGAAGTGCGAAATTGTCCTCCATTATGTGATGGACGGTTTTCGACATTATGTGCATGCGCGAGTACAAGCTCGTGCTAAAAAAAATTTGTTTTTCATTTTGCAAAGATGTAGCTAGTCTGCTTTTGTACAATATATTATTGCGATGTTTTTCGCTTTTAACTGGAAACAAGCCTGCCGTTTCATGGATTAGTGGCTGTCAACCGTGAGACAAAGTGCGAAAGGCATAAACACGAGTTCAATCGTTGTCTTGGCTATGTCAGTTTTGGTCTAAAGTGATAAACATTTCAGTGTTGTAATTGTATACCGTACTTGCTTTGTGGTTCGATTTCGTTCATATCTGCGAAATGTTTAGGTTATTCTGTTTAACTCAATAAATAATGTGTTTTTATGCAAGCTGGTATTTACATGCAATTGTAGTGAATATTTAATTATTGTTCATTTGGGACAATTAACACAGCGCATCGTATTTTTATGTGTGTTTATAATAGTCTTTTACCTACATCAAATGTTGCTTGACCAAAACAAAACTGAAACAATAGCTTCTTAAGACAAGACAAGACTTTATTTATACACTCTTGAATCAAATTACAATTATTTAAAAAATGAAATTGATAGAAATTATTTGAGCGTATAGACTACCTGGGATAACTATTTATAGCTAATGTTTCAGGTAGTCTTTAATCGGGGATTATATAGTATTAGAGAATAATTTATTTTTTTAGGAATGTCTATATAATACCAATTATCATTCAATATTAATCATAGCAATAGGCATGCATCCTTAAAATATTCAATGGAGTAATATAGATTATATATAAATTTCATAGATATATTACATTACAAACAAAACAGAAGATAAAAACATCACAAACACAATACAGAATCTATCATCATATAGACAGTTTATTTAGTTTATTTTATACGATCTTTAGAAAATGATCAGCACTTCCCGCAATATATAGAGTGTAGGAATCACCGATAATTCTCAAAAAAACCTTTTTTTATTTCTGATTTAAATCTGTTTAGTGAAAGATTTTTTAAGTCATCTTGTATAACATTCCAAATTTTAGTTCCTTGAAATCTGATGTTAAAAATACCATAATTCGTTCTTGGATTAGTATAGGTAATCATGCGATGGCGAGTACAATTAGGGATTAATAGTACGAGTGATGTTTGGAAATTTTGCCAAAATTGGACGAGCCGCCGAGGCGAGTCCAATTTGGAAAATTTCCAAACATCACGAGTACTATTAATCCCTAATTGTACGAGCAACATCGCATGATTACTTGTTTATTATTAGCATGACAAAATTGGTTACGTACTTCTCAGTGTGAACATCATATTCTCTCGCCAAAGCCCAGTCCTGCCAGACTTTCAACCAAAATTTGGTGCTTTTATTTGTATTTTTATTTAGTTCTTTTGTTCAAGCAAAATTTGGTGCTTTTGTTCGTATTTCCATCTAGTTCCTCCACGGCAATTTCATTTCGCATTTGTGTTTAAAATACCTTTCCGCCATTTTGTTTGTTTTGGGAAAATCATTAATTGTACTGCAGTACAATTAATGAAATAATTGTACTCCTCTCAACCAATCAGCATCCAGTAATTTTGTCATGCTAATAATACAGCAGGTAATAAGCCTTTGGTATGCCATTCTGGTATTATAGGAATGCACTTGATTAACAGATATGAAAAATTCTTGGAAGATCTTAGGAAGCAAATTATTGTGTAATTTGAACATAAAAATTGAAATATTGAAATTTGGAAATTGACTAAGTAAAAAAACAAAAAAAAACCCATCTTAATGATATATAATTTTAAAAATAAAGGTGCTGAATGCTCATCAAATTTTGCAAAGCTAATTATACGAATAGCCCTTTTTTGCAGCATAAATAATGGTTGAATCGTGGTAGAATATATAGCGAATATATAGCCCGAGGTATCGTATGTTCGAAAAAACTACTGTCGGCAAAACGAGCTTTTCAGTTTCCCGTGCACCTTCACGGTAAATATGTAGTCTTCATAGCGTTCTTTATAAAATCCGTATAATTTTAAGAACGAAAATGTACCGTAAACCAGAGAAATCCAGCAAATTCTACACCTTCGTAGGGTAAAACCACGATTTTACCCAGAGCGATAAAGATATGCGATTGGTTTAGTCTATTGTTCCATTTTCAATTATATTGTTCTATCTAAGTTATTCTAATATATTAGTCTAGGACCTGTATATGAGTTTGTATGCGTTTCATTTACCACAGGTAATCTCATCTGCTT